GTAGGACTCACCGTCAGAAAAGCCAGGCCTGTTGTCTTATTCTTCTTTCTGTCTGAGACATCTTAGCCAAGGAGTGTGGTTTCTTAAATGGAGAAAATTTAAGTGGTTGCCTCCAGCTCAACGCTCGGGACCGCACGCTGTCGTCTCACATTTACAATGGAAGGTTTCTCTTTACAACTGTGGGATAACAACTTAATTCTCTGTAAATAATGGGGTTGTTACACCCTGGTATCTTTTAATAGGAAATAGTTTTTTGGTGCTAGTGTAATGAAAGCATTTTCTGTATAAAGCCTCTGATATTCCACAGTGCCAGCATCTGTGTTGCATATTTGATTTGATGCTTGGACTCTGGTAGATTCAGTTATTCTTCACATAACGCAGCAAATATATTCATTTTCTAATTATACGAATTAAAAAAGAAAAAGAAACTCTTCACATTTAGAAAGAGAAGAAATGTTTGCTGTTTTTGATTTAATTAAGCCTCGCTGACAATAACTGTTGATTAAACTCTTGTGAGATAGTCTTTCACCACTAACTTTCTGACTATTAGTTTCAATTTTTTGAACTTTCATAAACTGGACTAAAATCTAAAGTAGCTACAAACCTTCCTATAAAGAGATGATAACACTTGTTGTACAGCGTTTTACTTCGTTTTTAAGCATTTAACACGCACATTGTTGCAGGAGGGTAATCTCTTTTACAACTTCATACAAAGAGAGCTAAAAAAGAAAGTAGTCGCAGAGATTTCTCAGCAATCTTATGCTAAACTTCTCGCTACAACATTCACCCCAACCCTTGACCTTTGACTTTTCTGCTGAGACAATGTAGTTAACAGGCCCAGTGACACCATAGTACTCGAAACCGCTTCACCTCTAGCTTGTCATTCTGTCCTTTTCTGATTCATCATGTTGCGAGAGTAAGCTCTGTTTAAATTCCTCTAGGCCATTGAAACCTACAGTATCAACCCCGAGTGAGTGATGTGTTGAAGCAGCTGTCTCAGATATGTGACATGTGGTTAATCATCTGCGGAACGATCTGTGCTTCTTTCAGCGGTGATTGAAAGGGTGGTGCTGAAAGTTCCTCACAAGCCTGAAGACTCCAGCGAGTATAGTTTTGAGGTGGGTACCTTATAAATACGAGTACATGCCGGCATGTATTGTTTGACTCCTAACTTTTTTAGACTTAAATATTTTTTCCCCCTCATTTCCCTACTCCTTCACTGCCTTCTTCCCATTCCTTTCCTCTCCTCCTCCAGGTTAGCTGGTCCGATGGGTTGGTAGTATCTGTTGTAAGAACTCAGCAGGAGGTAGCAGAGCTGCTGTCTCAGGTCAGGACCAACATTTCAACACACGAATGAAAATGAACCTGAGTTACATTCAGGCACTTTTTATTGCACAGTAAAACTAATGTGTCTCAAAGCGAGTAGGAGATAGAGCTGCTTTGTTTGAAATCTGATTTTTAACCAAATTCTATTGGAAAACCAATA